AAAAGGAATTATTTTTCGATGTTATTAGTAAAATGGACCATTTTCTAGAAAAAAAGACATAAACTCCGTAAATTTCAATGCAGTTCTGTGACATATTAGCTAACAAGGGAAGATCAGAGAGATTGAACAAGCGATTGAAGAGTGAACTTCAGACCGATAGATAACAGTACAACTATAACAAGGCAACAGAGAGATTCGCTAAACAGCAGATCGATATCCCTTTGTCTTATTGAGCCTGAATTTGAGCATGTTAAGGAAGCCTAATTGAGTTAATAAGGAAGCCTTATTCGATTGCTTTAACACGACTTTTGCTAAAACAAATAGGCCTATNGCCTAATTGAGTTAATAAGGGAAGCCCTATTCGATTGCTTTAACACGGCTTTTGCTTAAACAAATAGGCCTACGAGATGAAATAACAGAAGGAGCAACTAGAACTAGAGGAATGCTGCTTACCTCAGGCTCCTTTCAATTAAGCCAGCCCTATGATTCCTTTTCCCTACACCCCCCTTGTGGCACACCCTTTTCCATAGACCGAGAAAGGAAAGACAGCACGCCGATAGAGTTGCTAACAAGGGCAGGAAAGAAAGTCATTCATTCGTAGACTGATTGCCCTATCTCAACAAGGGCTAGTTACAAGGCCGAAGACAGGGCAAGAAGAGAGAGATCTCATTTCAATGAAGATCGATTCACCAAAGCGATTGATCTAGAAGAGCGACTGGAAGATCTATTTCAAGAGAGATTCGTGCTTGGACTAGACCAGCTAACAACTAGCGGAGAGAGAGATTGACTCATAACGGAAGAGCTACTGCTACTAGAAGAAGAGCTAGCCATAACGGAAGGAGANCGCTTGGACCAGACCAGCTAACAACTAGCGGAGAGAGAGATTGACTCATAACGGAAGAGCTACTGCTACTAGAAGAAGAGCTAGCCATAACGGAAGGAGACGCATTCAAAAACTAGATCGTCCTGAAGACGGATGCGACAGGAAGAAGTGGCATTTGGAAGTGTTGCCGACTTAACATTTAGGTTTTGGCATAACAAAGCTTGCACTATCTTTTCACACTTAGGCGCACGGCGTGCCATTGGTAATGATTCTATTACGGTGCCACAAATTTGCAAGCTAATCCTAAGTAATCATTGTTGTTCATTGGATTCCGGAGGAACTACTTCATTAGGATTGGGGAATTGCTGCGATTCTTCCTGAATAGCTTGGATTCTCCAGTCGAGAGTCACTTTGAAAGTCTTACCTAAACTCTTCCGACTGAATATTGTAAAGCCTATAAAAAAACGAGCTACTATCATTTCTTCATTATAGATTGAGATCTTCGTCGAACTTGATGCACAAATAGATGGAATAGTAGCAAATAACATCTTTCTAGCCTGCATATTCGTGGAACTCAATCTCATTTAGAAAGCCTTATCTNGTAAGGAATGAGCGTGGTGTGGGGTATATTACATACAAGAAAAGGAATTCTTTTTCGATGTTATTAGTAAAATGGACCATTTTCTAGAAAAAAATACATAAACTCCATAAATTTCAATGCAGTTCTGTGACATATTAGCTAACAAGGGAAGATCAGAGAGATTGAACAAGCGATTGAAGAGTGAACTTCAGACCGATAGATAACAGTACAGCTATAACAAGGCAACGGAGAGATTCGCTAAACAGCAGATCGATATCCCTTTGCCTTATTGAGCCTGAATTTGAGCATGTTAAGGAAGCCTAATTGAGTTAATAAGGGAAGCCCTATTCGATTGCTTTAACACGGCTTTTGCTTAAACAAATAGGCCTACGAGATGAAATAACAGAAGGAGCAACTAGAACTAGAGGAATGCTGCTTACCTCAGGCTCCTTTCAATTAAGCCAGCCCTATGATTCCTTTTCCCTACACCCCCCTTGTGGCACACCCTTTTCCATAGACCGAGAAAGGAAAGACAGCACGCCGATAGAGCTGCTAACAAGGGCAGGAAAGAAAGTCATTCATTCGTAGACCGATTGCCCTATCTCAACAAGGGCCAGTTACAGGGCCGAAGACAGGGCAAGAAGAGAGAGATCTCATTTCAAAGAAGATCGATTCACCAAAGCGATTGATCCAGAAGAGCGACTGGAAGATCTATTTCAAGAGAGATTCGCGCTTGGACCAGACCAGCTAACAACTAGCGGAGAGAGAGATTGACTCATAACGGAAGAGCTACTGCTACTAGAAGAAGAGCTAGCCATAACGGAAGGAGACGCATTCAAAAACTAGAGAAAGGCTAGGGGCAGGGACTAAGACTAAAGCAAGGGACCTTTACCAGTTCCACATTCCGGATTAGTGATAGAGGTTGGACAGAGAGCTGACAGCCGATGCCCTATAGCGATAGCGATAAAGACAGAAGTACTTTGAAGCAAGGGATTTGACAGATTCTCGATTCCAGGGCAGGTAGCTTCTTTAAAGCTATAGCCTTTCCGGAAGACTTTATTGAATTCAAATCTATTCTATTCTATTCTATTCTATTCTATTCTATATATTGGAATTAAGGGAATTGGTATTCGTTCGTGTACTGATTGATTGAGCTCAAAGGCGGGAAAGGAAGTGGAAAGAACTCCACCGAATTTCTTGCTTTACTGATTGCGTCTATTAAAGTCATTCCATCTGTAGGCTTAAAAGAAAGCATTTCTATATCATGTTTAGTGCATGATAAAGACAATTTGCTAGCTTTCAAAAGTCTTTTGACTACATATAAATGCCCGTAGAAAGACTAATTCCAGCTCGACCGGGAAGAGCGATTGAAGAAATGACAGCTGGTTTACCAATGCCCCTATCTGCATCCGCCGACCTATCACTTTGCTTTATGGCATATGTTCCTTAGCTTGCTTGCATCTTCACTGATTGCGCCTTCTCTAATGCCCCAACCTTCTAAAAGATAAGGCCACTCCTCCTTTCTTTCCTTTCTCAAGGATTCCTCGCTTGAATCCTTACCTCAGGCTCCTTTCAATTAAGTAAGGGAGTAGCGTATCATATAGGGGACATCTTTAGTCTATCCCCAAATAGACTAGCCAATTGTTAGAGCAAGCATTCGGTAGGCGCTTTATGCTATCATAGGCGGGTGCAATCAGTCAATACGTTAAACGATTTTCTTTTGGAATATATCCCCCTTGATGCGCGAGGGGCTCTCGGAAAGAAGGGGCAAAGCAAAAGCAAGAGGAGGTCGTAGATACTATACCTGGAAGAAGTCTCTCTCGTAGGGCATTTATCTGTAGTAACAAGCCTGTGAAAGCAATATCTTCTAGGCTTATAAAGAGCTTTCAAACCCGCCTAGGTGGAACTGGTAGGTAGCTGGCAGCAATTTCTCCCTTCTTCGCTACGGCCCCCTATAGGATAATTGTTGGAGGGTTCCCGGCCCTCGGTAGACCAAGTGAGCTTTCCTGGTTTTCCGTCTGCTTCTAACCCTACAGGTGTTCTAACTTGAGTTTGGTATATTTAGTGTTTCGTCTAGTTCGAAGCATTCCTGGTGAGCTTGAGATGTCGATATTGGTTGGGCATTATAGCGATCAGAGTGGGGAGAATAGGCCGAATATTAGGTACGCGGAAGGGGACCTTGCTAGTGAAAAGAAGGGCAAGCAAGGGAAGTGCGAGCTAACTAATGGCAAGGGCCGGAGATAGAGAGTGATTCAGGGAATTGCATTCATTAAGGAAGCAAACAAGCATCGATCTATTGTTGGATGGGATTCGCCCTATCCACCAAGCGTTAACTGCTACACGAGAGTACAGCTAACCTAAGCGGGAAGAGCATATTGAATTAACAGACGGAAATCAAACTATTCCATTTGAAAAAGAAGGGATATGCACAGGAATGCTAGACTCAACTCATTTTGCCTCCCGTTTTGTTTTCTTCACTTGAGGAGAGTCCCTAGCGTACTAGACTTTGAAAAAGGGAATGTTACCGATACTTGAAAGACTCATCCTCTGGCAAAAGCTTGACTTTCTTACTTCAATCGCCTATTATACCGTATTGCCTGTGCCAGTTTGCGCCTGCCACTCGTACTGAACTAGCCAAAGAAGCAAGAGAAACTGAAAGCGATTTACTTCTTGCCTTAGCTTCTATAAAAGTAAACAACTAAGCCTTTACTCTGGAATTCCACTTTAGAAAAGTCAAATAAAGTGATTCGTAAAGAAGTTCATTTAGTATGAGAAGTAGGTTTATCCATTGAAGTTGAAGTCGTTAATTTCAGTAGTTGAAGTACTTCTTGAAGTTGAAGTACTTAGTTTACCGATTGAAGTTGAGGTAGGAAGTTCATCGCTCTCCCCCCATGACTCTAGTCTGTCGGAAACTGTATCGGTATCAACTGCAACTGTCGTAATTGGTCGAGCTGGCATCGGTCGATAGGTAGGCGCAATCACTTGCTTGTTCGATAGCGATGCCTTGAATTCAATAGTGTGATCCCCGGCCATCTCTCCCTTGCAATTGGGAATCGGGTAAGGCGAATCGATCTTCTAGGCGGATATACCATAGGGAAATAAACGTACAATAGGATAGGAATGGTAGCGAAAGTGAATGAGGAAAGCTGGCATGACTGTCTGCAAGATCTTTCTAGGCTTAAGCATAAGCGGTAAGAAGCAAAAAAAAGCAGTAGCAGTACGCTAATAAAATAAGCCAGTTGTTGAAGTATGAGTGAAGTTCCTGTTCTGTATCGGGAAACTCTAGCAATCGGGAGTAAGAGGGAATAAGGAATCTCTTTGATGGTAAGAGTAGCAAGTACAGGGGGGAAGGTGGAAAGGGGGTTATGGATCAAATGAAAGACATATAGTGCGATTACTGTATAGGTTAGAGTATCCCCCTGGAAGAGCTCAGCTAGTCTACTAACTTATTTGATTAGCGTAGAGTAAAGAACTATATAAGACTATTCCCCAATAGAGTACCCTATTCTTATCTTATCTTATCTTATCTTATCTTATCTTATCTTATCTTATCTTATCTTATCTTATCTTATCTTATCTTATCTTATCTTATCTTAT